GGGAAAGAAACAAGAGAATAAAGGCAGACCAGATAACAAATCAGATAAACCACATTCATTTACTAACACTGGCATATATCGTTCCTTGACCAAGGTACAAACTGTGCCAAGCCTGAGGGGTGTTCACTCACTCATCTACAGGGACAACAATCAGGTTCCAGCGCTGGTATTGGCCCATCTAGAAATGACCACCCTCATCATGACCCTCTGCCAGATCCAGTGAGCCTATTATGGCAGATGGTAACCTTGTCTATGGAACCAGCAACGTCTCCTTTGCCCATGATTGACAGTAATTGACAGTATGGTGTCTCATCAGTTATCACACACGCAGCCAGGATCAATGCATGGGCCGGGCCGAGGCTGCAAAGTCAGAGAACCTAATCCATACGACGGGTAGTCTGGAGTGTGGCAGCATGGCTGACAGTTTTGTGAGAGCAGTACTGCCGTATTTCTCTTGCCCTGTGATCCGTACTGATACTGGCTTATTACACTGGACTTCTCACAAGTTTACCTGTGCAATAACATATTAGGGTGGAACAGTCAGGTACAAAAAACTTAAAACAAAAATCAAACAAAAGCTCTACATATTGTCAATAATTAATCACAAGGTAAATATAATTTAAAAACCTGTGTCTTCGAAATGTACAGTAAGAATTGCGGCTTTCACTATGGTTGTGGTCCAGGTAAAAATGAGCCATTTATGGTATTTCTTTTAACTTGTATTGAGGAAATTCTGTATCTTGATTAGAAAAATCCTTTTGCAATCTTAACATGCTAATATTAATATTTAATTTAAACAGAGTTCTTACAGCCCTTGTGTGCATCTGCTCATTCATAGACAACATCAACATATTGTATACAACCATAAAATGTGAAGTATCTCCCACAGATTATTAAAACATGACTGATATCAAACTGGTGCATAGCATCACTACCCAGTAATGTAAGTTAGAATTGCACATTAGTTGACTCCTTTCATTCAAATTCTGAGGTCAGCACTTACAAGATAGTAGCAGCTTGAACATTAAAAACATCTTGATATTCCCTGCAAGAGAATAACAAATTGTCATGGTTGCCCAAACATGTGGAGCAGTAATAAAAGAGCTAATATTTCCATACAACACTTACAAAACAGTGTGTGTGAGTACATTAGTTCACAGCAAATTTTCCATTTGCTTACTCTTTCAATATCAGTTTGATCAGGAGCACTGTTCTGTCCATTAGTGAAGGAAGTGGCTGAGGTCCTCATGAATCTCAGCCTCATCCCAGGGTCCTTGGATGTTGTCCTTTTGTTTCTGCAGCCTGACTAATAGTAAAGGACAGAGTAGCGTAACACTTCCTAGGGCCAGGGCCAACAGCACGGCTCCACCTGGTGAGAGGGACCCCAGACCTCCGACCCCTCCTAAACACACTCCCACACACACCCCAATAAACTGGTTAGGGGCATTCTCCCTCAGCTTCTGCAGCAAGCAGGGCCAGAGAGCAAATACCAGAAGGGCACAGCTGAGCATGGCGAAGGTGTGCAGAGCCCCTGGCAACCGTGAGGCTAAACACACAGAGGCAAACAGGGCTGCATTTAGGGAGAGGCTGCCTGGGGGTGAGGGCTGGGCATAAGGGAAAGACACCAGGTGGGCCAACAACATCACAGCAGACATCGCATACACTGTGTCTGTACTCACGGATTCTGTTAGTGTCTTTAGAACTGGCGAGAAACCAAAGGTGAAGGAAAGAAAAAGAGTGGCACTCTGTAAGTCGGCTAGATGGGTCCGGGGTTCACAGCCTGATTCAACCTGAAATGTCAAGGCTTGGTGCAGTCCATAACCCAGCAGGGCACAGACAAGGGTGGTCAACAGCAATTTCTCAGGGGACAGCAGACCCTGTTGTGAGGAAAGCAGAGACGTTGATTAAAAATGCTATTCATGCACACCATTCCATACAGTAAAGACACAGCGTGCTCTAAGAGGATTAGAGAATTTCTCAAGTTCTACCTGCTCCATGTAGAGCCACAGGGTGATGAAAATGGCCACACATGACAACTGCTGTCCCACAAAGCCTGCTTCTCTCACCACAGCCCAGTAGTGGTACTGCCGGATGCCCTCATTCCTCCGCAATTCTTCTAGGAACCGCTGGTCCACATAGTTATCAGGGTACGGCTGGTGCTCCCACAGCACCTTCTGCCAGGGCACAGCTGGACCTGGGGCACTGTCTGGCCCCATCACCCTGACCACAAGCACATATGCAGATCTGTGAGCAGGCATACATCCTTTTGGTTTGTAATAAACAAACTATCAACTGGCAAGGACTTAAGGGGGGCCGTGGACTTGAATAGGTCCCCTCTGTGTCAAAACTTTCATTATTTCAGTTCTCAAACGCTTAACATGGTGCCAAATAGTATTATAGCACTGAACAGCTGTAGCCTACACATTAGACGACAGGTAAAGTTGCCCGACAGGGTTAATAAAATGACAACACTGGGTTTGCTTTTTATCGTTAAGACCACTTAGACGTGATCGAGCATGTCACCTGACAGCCTGCAAGCAAATGAGTTGTCTGTTTTATAGCGGAATGCATACGAAAATGTTGGACTTCAATCAGTGTCGCGTCTGCTGTCAGGTCGATCTATTCTTAAACAGGATGTGCAGTATTTTGACGATTGACCGCTGCTGCCAACATGAAACTACGGCTCTGTCGCTACAGTAAAACCAGACATGTGTATATGAGCATTTACATGTTGACAGTCGATTAAGTATCACCACAAACATCTCAAATGTATATTTTTTTTAATCTTTTTTTTATCTAACCTACCTGGGATGAGATATATTCGGCACCGATGCGACAGTCTCAACATGCCTTAATCCCGGAAGTGAAGTAATGCATCCGAGATCACAGCGCCCCCCGTTGTTGGATCATTAACCAGCCAATGGCTTGCCAGATAAACATCAGATAAGTTATCATTCCTTTCTCTTTTTCTTTGACTAGGTGTCTGTGGTAAACATACGTGGCCCCCTTCTCAGTGGAAATTATAAGACCAGTAAACCCACAGAGTCCCACACGTGCCAAGAGGTTACATATCAAACTTAAAACACTGTCATGATGCCAACTGTGATATTCATCAGTAACCTTGTCTTCTGTCAAATACTACGTGTCCCAATGCATAGACCACAGCCTCTTGTCTTCCATGTGGAAACACAGGCTATAAGCGTGCCTTATAGCCTGCGTCAAAACAAGCACAAATACCCACCATGGTAATTTCTACCGACTCATAGAAAACGTGTTTGGGAAAGAATCAGAAATCTTGCATTTACACTGACTGTAATTGTCACTGAATGTCTCAGAAAGACTCGATACCAATCCAAATACAACATTTCCTTACTTTTTGTTATATTATGATTAGGTAGGCCAATCAGTTACAAATGACCTATTTTGAATTTAGTTGAAGAGAAGATCATGTCTCTGTTAAGACAGTGTCTCCAGAAAGACTGAACCATCCATACAGTGTCTGATAGGCCAGTCTGGTTCAGCCGAGCTGCAAGTTTGAAAAAGCCTCAGCTTTGGTGCAGGTAGATACATATAGGCTATAACTGTCTGCCACAGTCTCCATGTATAGTAATATAATTCAGGTTTGTTAAAGAAGTAGCAACTGTTCAGTAGCAACACAACAGAATACCGAGGTCAGAAAAATTAAGTTACACACATTTACAACTATAGAACATTAGCCGAATAAAAAGGTATCACATTCCCCCTTCCCCACAATCAGGATAATAAAAATTATTTTTCAAAGATATCAGAAACCTTAATATCCCCTTAGTCAGTAATAGAGAAATACTTAAAAATGCATAGTCTTTTATTTTTGTATGATGATTCAGAAACCCTAAACTGTAACACATTTCACTTCAGAGGATGACCATTTCTTAAACCAGACATCTTATATGTTACTGCAGGTACCCACAAAATACAGTGATAAATGCACACACTGCAGTTTTCAATTGTTTTACAGCATTTCCAGCACAGGTCTACTAAATAATGAAGGCATGAACTCACTGTATGAAAACTGTTATAGCACAGGGTAAATTCAGAGGATGTCAGTGTGGAGCCTCAAGCAACCAGGTTATCAGCTGTGGAGCTCAGTAAATACCAATAAAAGAAATCCTTTCAGCAACCATAACCATAAGTCACCATGGCATCTTAATAGTATATCATCAATCAACCTAACAGTGCTTCTTTACCCATGTATCAGAACAACCTGTTTCAGGTGGGTCGCAATAATCAGATAAACACTTCAGTGTCCAAAATGTTCAACTATGTTCTAAAAATATAAAAACAACAAAAGAAATAGGTTGTTCTGTGGCATCAGCAGCAGTGCAACCACCAGATGTTAGGTTGTAATGTTGGCTAATACAATGTGAAGATCAGATTCAACACCGATATTCACATTTAAAAGAATGCTGATGTAGACAAGGCAGTGAATGGCCCCCCTGTTGTAGTAGTGGAAATGTCCTTCAAGGTGTCCGTAGGATAGAAAAAGACTTCTGTCACCAAAGAGACAGGCAGGCTCAACAAAATCCTCACACAGTAGGTAGCTATAAGCAGACACCCTCCAGTAGCCGTGCTAGCACCCATTTAGGCCACAAGTCCATGGCAGAGGAGAGTAGGGCAAAAGTTCCAGAGTAGGGTACACACTTGGAGATGGCCCACTGTTGTTTCTCCTACTCTTTGGTCCCTTAGGTACCAAAGAACAGCATTAGTAAAGCATCCTTACCTAAAGAGCTGACCTTTCAGTATTGGAATATAAGGGAAAGCATGACTGATTTTCCATTATCAACATAAATGTTCATGGCAATGGGAGAAATATTCAAAGGCCTCAGAGACTGGCAGCTGAAAACAACCACTAAGGCATCTTAGTAACAGTACAAAGGTGTATTTTTAACAGTAACTAATGTATGGGAAGACATGCTGATGAAGTGGTTGCACTTTCTACTCCCATGTGATAGAAATAAATCATGTCCTTCAGACACCATAGGATTCCTTCAATAAAAAAACATTTCTGCATTTGGCTACTAGCCTTATAACTTTAACCTCTGTTAGAAAAATAGTCACATCATAAACATACTTGTTATGTCACTTTCTTTGAAGGCTTACAGCAGCTAGAGAGGATTATAAAACAATATACTGTATAAGTTTTAAAGAAAGAATTTTTCCTGTAGTAAAAAGAGTGAGGTTGCAAAAGCAGTGGGAGCTGACAGTCAGAAGTTCCCATTCCAGACCTGGGACTCCTGCTGTCCCTCAAACTCCTGTGGACTGAAATCCAGAGCAACAATTGTGGCAAAAAAAAAAAAAAAATGTTATCAAGAACATGAAAGTGTCTGTATATGTTTCACTATAGATGTCATTTTGTGGTAACAGTCACAAGGCAGGATACAAGCTGAAAAAACTCCCAAATATATGTGTGGACAAGCAAATTAGTCTCTCTCTGTTCCTCCATCTGGGGCAGCGTTATGTATGAATTTTACTTTTATCTTCAAACAGTGAGCGGACCAGGTAGACCTGAATCGCCGACACCAGCACCATGATAATGAGATTGATTACCGACCATAAGTTCACTCTATCAAAGTTACTCTCCTGGAGGTTTCGGTCACGGGCCTCATACGCCCGCAGCGCCGTCTGGATATGCAAGCTTTTGCCTAGTCTTGCCTTCACATTGTTAATGGTGTCCTGAAGGAGAGGAGACACACAGGCAACATTAAACAGACCAGAAAAGAGAGCTTATGTAAAAACTGTACCTGACACTACACTGGCCTATAGCATTAATTATGAGTGATTAAGATAAGAACAGTCAGGTGTCTCTAGGGGCAGTTTTGACTTTACAAACAAAGCAGCTCAATCAAGTATGTTCCTTCCTTCATGAGAAACCAACTTCCTCCATAGCTGGAACATACATTTCCTGCTTCACACAGAGTGATTCTTAGGCGACTTCTGACACAGATGAAAACTATTTCTGGTGAAGGAGCAGTGCAGGCTACTGTAGCAAAAGCTGAAACAGCTGGCTGCCCTCCGACAATAGGTGACAGTTCATGACTTTGTCTATTCTTGTGACACTCTCCTTGTGACTTTGCCTGTATGTGGTTGATTGCATGACATTTTGTTAGCTCTCTATTTACCAGGTCATCCTGTGAGCTTAGGTGGCACTGGGACAAATATCACAATGGCAGACAAGGGGGGACAAACTTCCAAACACCCAGTGAGAATTAAAAAACAACAACTCAGAATCAGTTCTCATTCCGTTGGGAATCAAATTCTCTTTAAGCATTTAAAATACACAGCTGATCATCAGGTAAACTGTAGGCTCCCTCAGTTTGTTAGGAGCTCTTCTTTAAAGCAGTCACCCATGAAACAGCAAAACAATGTGACTGGTCTACAAAAATATCTACAATTCTTAGATTTATCATATGAATATAAACTCTTTTGTCCCTGTCAGGGTCTGTTAGGAATGATCACTCAGCTTTTCCAGTGATCTGTCAGGCTCTTGACAGGTTTTGATCCAATCTTCTGAGATTAGCCTGCTCTGGAGCAAGTTACCATGGTGATCTAGCCTGATTAAAGTGAGCCAGCTTTGTGGTACCAGAAAACCTGAACTGAGACCAAAGTTAGCTGTATGACCCACTAATCTTACTGCATGGTATGGGCCCCTTGTCTGGAATGTGTAGTCTAAGTTTTTTTCTGAATAGCATTGCATGTAGTGTATCTCATCCTCACCATGATATCTTCTAGTTTCATGTCCAGCATATCTGTTCCATGGACATACTCTTTCCAGTCATCTGGGTCTTCATCTGTACCCATGTTATCCAGGATCAATTCAAAGAAGATCAACTTCTCAGATACTGTACTGAATGTGTTGTCAAAGCAAAACATGTAGTCTCCATCCTCAGTTTCAACCCTGGATGAAAGCACAGGAGGTAAGATTTTACACGAGTCTATGTCATTAAGGTCTGTCTGGCAGATGATTTATGTTACATACGTGTGCACTCCATCTGACTTGCGGTAGTCACTGAACAACAATTGGCCAGAAGGAGAGTAGATGAAAAAATCTACATCGAGACCTGCACCATCTAACACCTGGACAGTGGAGGACACACGCACACACAAAGAGGTAAACAAAGAAATATTAGAAAAATTAGAAACATTTAAACAACACAGAGAAATTTGTGTGAGATGATCCTTTTTTCTAGTATGTGTACCAGCATTTAATTTCTCGATTTATTTCATACATTAAACGTGAGGAATGCTAGTTTTTCCTCTCAAGGTCTCATTCTTCGCTGACAGTGAGTCTGGATGCCTTGTTCTCCATGGTAGACACAACAACAGATACTGTATATCAAATGCTTGGGACATCTCCCACAAGAAATGACAAAAGGCAACTCACTGATATCGCTTTTGTTTGACACATTCATTCCAACTCAGAGATTCATTCAGTGCAGAAGGCTAAACACTGACTGGTGTTGTGTCGAAATCTGCTGCCCCATCGAGGTGTGTTTCCCCTAACCTGAACCCTAATCTTATCCTAACCATAAGACAGAGGGGGGCGCTCCTATAAATGTAGTTTTAACGGGGAAACGCATCTCGACGGGAGAACAAAACTCGACACAAGACCTATTCCTAACCGTATCAAAATCGACGTGAGAGCCACATAACATGCTGGTTCTCTACAAATAATTTGGTTTAGCACCACAGTATACCAGGGTGGTTCGTATGAATGTTGTCTATGAATGAGAACCATAGCATGAAAACAATGTTAACAGTAAGCAAGGGATGATCAACAGGTCTGACACGTGCAGCTAATGTTATGTCAGCGTTTGGGATTGTAATTGATTTGGCTGATAGACGTAGCTTTTTCGCTCTGTTCGGCTAATATTAAGATTTGATACAACTTTATCCCAGTTATGCGAGAATGCTTTGACCTGATATTCAATCTCCAGTGAGGCATCTTTCTTCATGGTCTGGAAGAAACACTCCTTTTGACCGGCCGGTAGGGTGAACGTGAAGTCGCTGTCCAAGGACTGAGAGAACACAGCCTGCACCATAAACCTCTCCGAGACTAGAACAACAAACACGGACAGCACACATAGAAATGCCGAAACTAACGTCATAATGAAACCTACGAGCCCACAAGTCCAAAAGAGCCGAAATGATATAACAAGTAGCCCGCCACTGGGTAGGTACGAGAGCAACAAAGTAACTAGGTACACTCGTCCAAACTTCGTCTCACAGAGTACTAAATAGGTCAGGACCCCGCCGGTTCAAAACAACAAAACATTTTTATTTATTACTTCCAATAATGTCAGATACATTTACTGTTGTACTTTGGATTACCCGACTTCAGATACCCTTTTTGCATTGTATTCATAATTAAATATTTATTACACGCAACAAAAAAGCACAGGCAATTTTACAGTTCTAAATTGGTATTGCGGGATATGTAGTTTTTGTTCAATGTAGTATGAACACGACAGAAGGAGCCGTTTAGTGTATTCGATCATCTTTTTTTATTAACAGTGTAATTGACCAATACAAATACTTTAATTAAGAAATGCCTGACCGACAATACATAAACTTGTGTTTTAGGGGTTTGTGATTTTCTTTATTTTCTAGACCACCAGTCAAAAAAAGGCCTATGGAAAACGCCAACGTACATTTTAAGTATAATGTTCGTTCCAATAAAAAATTCTGTCCCAATAAGATTATAGAAAGATAGAATAGTAAAAAAAAAACTGCATTGAGTGTTGACTTTAAAAAACAAATGATGTTCTGAGACACCTTTTCGGGATTTTATCATATTTACATTTACCTTCATATACATGAATATATTTTACAATGTAAAAACGTACATCGCCCAGTGTACGTTCACATTCCTTCAAGGGTTGAACCCACACCTCATCAAGTGATTTGAACTCCCACATAACTGCCTTTGCAAAAAGAAAGGTATCAAGCTAGTCATTCGTAAATGAAACATTCTAATTGAGATGGTTATTTAGTAACTTTAATGTTGTAAGCTTGAGTTATTCGCTTATCACAAAATAGCTGACGCGTCCTTCTCCACAATCACCAGCTCATCCTCAGCCCAGGGGGCTGAGAACACGGGGTTGTTACGTCTCTTATGATTGGCCAAGCTTCCCAAGCTCTGATTTGATTGGTCGGACGTGGACTGGGGTTGAATTTACCAGATAACCCTCAACAGCAGTAGGTACTTAAACAGAAAGAAGTGTACAGCAGGTCCGCGCAGTGAAATTTAGCACAACTAAAGTTTAGGTTTTAGACAAAGAAGACCGTCCTGTGTTAATTGTGTTTAACACTGGCCCTCAACCAACAAAAGCGGTCTGTTCGGTGTACTGTGTAGCCACGAGAGATTAAATAAAACGTAAAGAGCGAGGATGTTGGTCCCCGCCGGAAGATAATGAAGAGGCTGCGCGTTTTGTTGGTGTGCCTCGTTGTAGCTCTCCGGTGCTGGTAAGCTTAGCTGACATCTCTGTTCATTTTATTAACGACATCTCGGACAAATGACAGTTATAACAACTGATAAAGCACGTTTCATCATAATTATACTGTCCTTTATGGCGCTTTGCTTGATGTATTTTGTCGCATAACAGTTCTCAGTCATCAATGCTCAGTGACATGAACCAAGCATGCTACAGAGCTAACATTATGAGCTAGTGCAGTGGTGTGGTGTGATGTTCGGTTGACCTGTAACTCAGAAAAAGAGCCTTGGTTTGGCTATGTCTTTATTTAACATATATGGCTGATAAAGGTCTGCTGTTTAAATGATTTTTGGTTGACGGTTACTTAGCCAGCTGTTGACTAGCCGCATAGCTACCTGTGATGGCAAATTATACTTGTCTGGTAGCCAGTAACGTTAATGTTGACCACAAACACCTAAAGTGACAATAATAAGATGCTTTCCCTAGAATATTTATTATTCTGTCCTTGTAGTTTGGACTTTTAGCTGGCCATAACCTGGATTAACTAAAGATAAGCAAGCATTTCTCTGTATTTCTAACAAAAATGGACACAGTGTTGGGTATTGTCAGCCAATTTAATAAATTATTAGAAAATCTAGTCTTTGAAGGTTAACATTAAAACAAAATGATCTTATTTGCATGATATACCAGATCCTCTGTAAACACTAAAAACCTGATTTTTAGTTTAATGAAAACATTATGGCTGTACAGATGTGGCAGTGATCTGTTATTAAATTCTGTGGAACTAAGTTGCCTATTTGAAATGGCTGTTCTTCTGCAGTGTACACAGATGTCACACAGAGGTGACATCTGGTAGATTAACCAACTCATGAATTTGTGCAATCTCAGAGGCATGGGGCAAGTAACGATATGCAGATTTTTTCAGATGGGATTAGCAGGGCAGCTAGCATACTATTTCTGTCTAGATTGGTGACTCAGGAGTAGATAACCTTCCAGTCTGTATCCTGCAGATTGTTGTTTCTTCCTCGACTGTGTTGGTCATTCTGTTAATAATTCAGTTATATTGACAGTAAAGAGGGTTAGAATACCAAATAATATACAAAATAATCTTACTCATCATTATTGATGGTAAAAATAAATACAAGACACATTTGTTGGATTATTAGTAATAGAATATAACATTTATGTTAAACTTCAACAAGTGAGCTTTTCCAGATAACATTATACTCAGATGTGCACTCACTTGTTGCATTATAAGGCTTCCAAGAAATGATAAACCTAATACCTGTCACCAACAGTGGTTCTGTCGAGACAGCATGGGCATAATGATCATATCCATTTCATCCATACTTGAGATGCAAGATCATTGTAGTCTAAAACCTCAGTTTTCTCTTGGCAAAAAGTTTTTCTACAACTCAGCTGAGTGGCTTCTCTCCTGTATGATTTTACATGAGTCTATTCTGACCTTGTAACTTTGCATGAGCTTCTAACTTTTAACTGAAGCTGTGTGTGACCTTCTTAAAACACAGCAGGGAGTTGCATTTTTGCCAGTCTAATATTGACAACGTGTTGTCACACTCCATCATACTTTTGGCACAAGATCTCGGCGCACTCCTATGATTACCTTTACCTAACAAGCAATACACCCTGTACTTCCCTTAACCATCACCAAGCATAGCCTTTGGGGTTGAAACAGACCATCCTGTTTTTGTTTTTCCACTGTATTTTTTTTTCTCTGTTTGTGTCCGTGTAGATGAGGGAGGGGCTGCTCTTCTCTAACGTGTAGGTTGCTGTGTGTTTACACATGGTGCTTGTAATGCTAATCCTTGAGGTGTGAAAAGGTGGACATTTAACCAATCAGAGGCAACTGCTCTGCGCACACATATCCCCATCCCCCTCATGGTCCTGGCACTTGATTTTAGTCATACCTACTCAGGGGTGCTGAAATTTAGCTCTCAGAATGCATCTCAAAAGCAAGTGCACCATACTGGCAACAAACGCAGAACCTCTGACGAGCATTACTTGGCGTGACACATTTTGGTGGGGTCCTATAATGGAAAAAAAACCCTCTGTCTTTATCAGTAAGTAAAACTTTCTCTAGGGGTTTCAGGCAAAGTGATGGACAAAATATTTAGTTGGGCTGAAAAGAGAAACATACACTAGCTCACTGGTTGTTGAATGACAGACTGTGATAAATCCACATTTTTGTACCTGTTTTTAACCCTTGTACCATTTTTTTCTGAAGACTCATCACATTTCTATAGATTAGATTATTTTGTGTTTGGATATTGCTCAGTACGATTTTGTGTAACATGAAAACACAGCAGAGAAGTGGAACAGGGTGCTGCTCTCAGCTTCTTGAAGGCCAGTGAAACAAGGAAGAGCATTCAAAGATATTTTACATTAAAGGAAGGTCAAAAGAAATATTATAAATCCCATCCACAAATGAGATGGCTTTCTATCCTGGGCAACAGCTAAATATTGATTACAGACTGAGTCAGGTGTTTGCTTGTGTAAAACATGGATTTTTACCTTTTTGCAAACTGGCTAATAAACATGCAACCACATGCATAGACTTCATTACTGCACCCTTCTTAGTGTGTTGCTGTCAGTTTCTCACTCCTCCATGCCAGCTCTAGTACGTCCCAGTGGGAGCAGAGAAATGGAGAATGCATAGCAGTAGTCCCATGTTTTCCAAGGCAGCAGGGATTTTATGCATAGAAAGGGGCCGTGTATAAGCAAACTGGTGACCAAAGATTATTTATGGTGTGTGTGTGTGTGTATGGGGGGTTCACCTGCTTTTTAATAGGGGGATGTGACAGTGCGGTGGGTAGAGCAGTCCTCTCCCAACCAGAGGGTTGAAGGTTTGAGTCTCTGTGTCTGCAGTCCACATGTCGAAGTGTCTTTGGGCAAGACACTGAACCCTTCCTTGTGTGTAACATGCTTGGCCAATGAAGTATTTTATTTATTTTTGAATAAAGGTGATTATCCTTATTAATAACCCTATACTGCGTGAAAAGTCATGGCAAACTTTGATATTTCCACTTCAGACCTAATGGTTTCATGTGTTGTGTGAAGTCTTGGCCTCTGTATATTACTGTGAGACTGCTGTAGCTGCTTATATTTAACTGTCTGTGCTGCGGAGGCACAGCAGAATGTGTTTTTGTGTGTGTCATGCTGCCCCTCACTCGCATAGTCAGGAACAGGGATCTTACTGTGTATGGTGTGCAGGCTCAGGCTGTTGACATCATCAGTCTGTTGGAGAGTGTGTGCATGTGTACTACTTTACAGTGTTGCTGTGAGGGTCCACATTTTCAGCCGGGTTTCAGTAATGATACCTCACCACAGACTTTTTATGCCCATTTAAATTTTAACTCCATTGCCAAGATGTTGGCTGAGTGTGGCACGGAGTTCTCCTCTCTGTAGTAACACAACTGTTAATGCAGGTTACAAACTGATAAAACTCTTTCTCTCAGACATCTTTATGCTAATTGTATATTCTGTAAAATCACTCAAGAGGCATTGTGGGGACATGCTCAGGAGAAATATCTTGTCATCACCTCATACTGTCCCTGCACATTGTTAGGCTTTTTAGTTTCATAGCTGTTTTGAAGATTATTATGTAATGTGATTAGCTCTCATGAGGTAACTGTGTAGCCAAATGAACAGCTGGGGATTGAATATTATGTTGTCTGTCTTTGTGTGATGTTTCAGACACTTTTGAATCAGCATAACTAAATAAACCAGTATCTATCATTCCATATTTTGCTCTGTTTATTTCATAGTGCTGCAAATCACACTCTTTTACAAATAGTGCTACAGACCAGCCCCCACAGCAGGCTCAAACACTACCCACTTTTACTACCTACACAAAAATCCTGTCAAACAGTACAGAGAGAGGTAATATGTATTGTTATTGGGATAGGAAAGTACCTACACTGTTATTCAAAAGTTTGGGGTCAACTCCAGGCATAATTCAACACTGGCCACACATAAGGATAATCACCTTTTTTGGCCAAGTGTGTTACACACAAGGAATTTGTTTCCGGTACAGAACCGATGGCAGCCATCTGCGGCACCAACTCAACCGATGGCTCTAACCATCAAGGGCAACTTGGGGGTTCAGTGTCTTGCCCAAGGACACTTCAACACGTGGACTGCAGACACCAAGATTCGAACCTTCAACCCTCTGGTTGGGAGACAACTGCTGTACCCACTGCACCACTGTTGCCTCCCCAAAAAACTGGGGCACTCCTCCTGTGGATTGTGAATTGTAGGGCTGGCTGATTTGTCCAGTGTCCTAGCCCACCACATTGGAAACGGCGATCATTTTTACTATACTGATGTACATGTGGCATTCTTTCTACAACTGAAATCAAATGTTGTTGGAATAGCACTTCCCACAAAAGTGTTATGTGGGTTGCTTTGCTTTCACTCCTCATCTGGAAACTCTGGACACTGTTCCGGCCATTCCATCTTTTGAAGCTGATCCTCTTGATCTTTTCTTCTACACAGTCCAGAGCTTAAGTTGAGGCTTGTTTTACATGAAATTTCCTCAAGTTGGTGTGGTGACGTATGGTGACTTTTTTGTTTGTTTTCATCTCTGGCAGTTTTCTACTTAGTTTTGTACCATTTAAGATTATTGACTATACTAGAAACTTAAATGCCATAATGAAAAATGGAGGTGACTCCAAACTGTTGAACAGTAATATACTATATATCAGAATGTAAGATTTTGGTCATTACACAGCTCTACAGAGCAATACAGATTTGAACATGCGCAAGTAAAATTAAGTTGTCTGCCCACTGGTTTTGAATTTTAAATATGCTGAATTGCGTAATTGTTTGCGGCATTGTTTAGCTTTAACGTAATTAAATGGCTTTGGGATCCTGTGGTGTGATTTATTTATTTATTTTTTTTGCTTCTGCTTATTATACAGTAGGTGTTTTGATGTTGTAGGTTTGTCTTATTAACCGAGGAGTTCTACAGGGTTTTGTTTGTTTTCTGTCCATCTGATCCTATAGGTGATC